AACAGAAAAACGACTAAAGTAGTTTGCTGCACGTGTTTTTCGTACTCCAACGCTTCTATTGTATGTCGTTGGTGACTGATCCGACCAGTCGAGACATTCTGACTAGCTCAGTTTGTAGAGAATTTCAAGGGCTACCGAACAGTAGAGAAGTGTTCGGTTACATATAGGGAAGTGTATAGTTTTTCGTTTTGGCAGAAAATATTGACTGAAAGAGTGCTCTACTGGTGTTTTCGGTACTCGAACGTTTCTTTTGCATGTCTGCGGTGACTGACTCAACCAGTCAAGACCATCTGACTAGCTCAGTTTGTAGAGAATTTCAAGAGCTATCGATTCATGTGTTTTGTTAGTCTCCGTGGATGTAAGAAGGATGAAAGAAGCAGCGTTTACTCATCATGTAGCGCTGGTTTGGACGTTGCCGACGTGAATGATATTTTGTCGAGAAACTAGCAGGGTTTTAGTAGTAAGTACTAAAACCCTGTAGTTTTAGTAGTAAGTACTACTCGCTCATTTTTCTTGCATTGTTTTGCATCAAGAAAAGAGCGGTGGATAAGGGGCTTTTAGATTTTCTATGGTATGGTATCGCATTATATTTATTTACAGGTATACAATCAACTACAATGTTTAATTATTGCGCGAAGTGTCGATGGTGGTTTAGGAAATCGTATGTTTTTGTTCGCAAGCGCCTATGGTCTCGCTCGGCTACATCAATGTCATTTATATATTGAACCTTGGATATTGTTCGATTTGAGTGGAACATTTGAGCCGATTCATTTACCAAATTTGGTGAACAAAACAGTCTACGAAAATTTAAATAAGTCATTGATAACTGCGCGGTATAGTGCTTGTCATTTTTATACCGATCTTATGGAACCAGGTGTAATCAAATTTTATGAAATGACCGGTTTTTATCAGGCATTTGGATATTTCATAAGATACAAAACAGATATCAAAAATTTGTTTAAATTTAGGGTGAGTAAACTATAAGTGTATACAATTATTTCTGGATTTCAGTACATATGACTACAAAAAAAGGACTGAAAGAGAGAGGCAGAGAATAGTAAGTCCTTAAGAATTTTGGAAACATCAAGGCATATTTCAACTGTTATAAAATCATAGCCGGTATAACGAGTGAGAGCATGTTTTCACGTCCATGTAATTATTATCGAAAAAAACTATCCCGGTTTTCACCAGATTTTTAGGATTCTTTTCCAAAAACAGACATTGTCATCAAATTCTGAGTGCTCGGTTACATATATTCTATGCGATTATGAGTCTTCGACAAGTCACCGAGAACCAAGGAAATCCAATACTATGTCTGAACCACTGGTAATTAAAGTCTCGCTTGATACTCCTGTTTTGAAGAGAACAGTCTGAGCTGTTTAACCTTGTAAAAAATCCAAATATTAGTACTTTGAGTTTTTGAGCTATGATCAGGTTATTCAAACATGTCTTGAGAATCCTACTTTGGAAAAAGAAATTAAAGAATTCTCTGTTAAAAGAAGATGTACCGAAGTCTTCTCTTTCGAACGGTGAAAATCTGAACTTTCTAGCTCTTTTCACTCTCTAGTTATTCGAAAAAACAACCGTACTAGCTTGTTGTAAGGAACTACTATTTACCAGCCTCTCTTGTTTCGGATAAAACCAATAGTTTGATCAGTTCCAACCGATGTTTCAGATGTCTTTTTTCTTATTATAAGGCTGATGCTGTTCGTATGATTGCTCCGTTTCTCAAATGGCATTTAGCACTTCGTCAAACCTGTGTTTATCGTTACAACTGTTCATTGAACGATATAGAAAAGATGTATAGTATTTTAAAAACACAGTTTCCATCCGACTTAAATGTTACCTTTAGTCAACTCAAACAAAGTTTTCATAGTAGTGACTATACGTGGATTGGTATTCATATTCGCCGTGGTGACTTTCTAACATTTTTCAAAGTTTCATCTTCAGTGGAATATCTCACCTCATCTATGAATTACTATCGTCTTAAGTATCCTCGCAGTGTATTTATCATAGCTAGCGATGATAAAGATTGGTGTCTGAAACACTTCGGCAAGAGAACCGATGTAATTGTAACACCCAAAACATATTTTCACGGTCATGATATGGCTGCTTTGGCCCTCTGCGAGCATTTAATAGCGACAGCTGGTAGCTATGGTTGGTGGGCTGGTTTTTTAGCTGGGGGAGATGTGGTACACGATTTGAGTTATCCTGTACGCTGGCAAGATTGTTCCAGACAAACATATTTTCCTCCTTGGTTCATATTTCCTCCGAATATCACTCAGTTACAAAATTATTCATCATCTACCGAAATGACTGTAACACCCCAACTAACTCGCGGTACTCTCTAGAAAAAAAAGGTACCTGATGGGACTTTTCAAGGTTCTAGCAGAGATGTTGAATCTTTTAAGGTTCGATAGTTTTTGCACTGAACCATCACAGGTTTCAGCCGATGTCAAGAACCATTTCGAATAAAATTGGTTCAACGTTTTAAAAAAAGGTTCTAGCTTGAACCTGTGTTTTTTCTATTGAACCATTTTGCAGCTGCAGTCATCCTGCGTATCTGTGTTAAAGGCTAACATATAGGCATTTTCGCCTCTTTCTTCAACTCTCTTCGTCTCTTATATTCTCTCAATATATTTCTGTATTTGTACAATGTGATATATATGTTCTCCACTCTGTTGTCTATACTTTACGCTCTTTAAATACGGTATCCTCTCAGTTCGTCCTAAATTAGTCTCTCTCAATTAGTCTCATACCTTTTTTTCATTTTGTCCCAATTAATTTTTCACATCATTCTTATTTTCAGTTCATGCCAACTAAGTTTGTACATATATTTTACTCTCAGTTCGTCCCACGTTTTAAAACGTATAATTTTCTAAATTTTATCACAGAACTCTTTTTTGGCTTGAACCTTAAAAGGTTCTTTAAATGGTACCCAATTATTGAACCTTAAAAGATTCTATCCAGCATCGTTTCTTATTAGAGAGTACTATTGCTTCTAACAAACAGTTAGAAGAGGTTATTGGTAAACTTAACGCTAACAGACAAAGACGATTAATGGTTGTACAAGCTTCAGCAATCACTCCATAGATACCATGGAAATTTAATTTTCTATATATAATTTTAACTCAGCTCTGATAAAAATATGCGAACTCTAATTTCTGTTATGGTTCTGACAATTCGTGTTTACAAATATGAATTACATTTCGCTGATATTTTTCGATGTTTTAGTGTAAGAATGTACGTAAACTATAAATAGTATAAAATATTGTTATTAATTTTGTATTCTAAGATTTTTGTATGTCTGTGAGCCTTCAGCTTTATTCACTTACTTTTTATGTGAAAAACGATGGTTTTCTCAATAGATATATCGATATAAAATGATGTTCTTAATCGTTTGTCAACTGTTTACATAATATTTCTCCGACTTATGAACATTATAATAATGGCTAAAAGAAGTAATATTGAAAGTGCTGAGCGATCAGCTTCTCAAACAATTTCTGATCGAAAGAAAGCAGAAGTTACTGAAAATATACGAGTTTATTCATTCAGAAAGCTTTTTACGCCATCCACGACAATGGTTTATTCAAAATCTATAAGCGATGTTCCAGCTGAATGATCTTCCTTGCATAATCGAGGGATCAGAGTATACAATCAGTTCGCAGTCAACATTCATAGATCTTTCAGTATTACTACTATCTGTTTCAAAGTATACTGCAGGCCAATGTTTTTTTAATAACGTTTGAAGGGAACGACGGACCGAGCTAGTGACCTGCGGCTTTCAGTTTCGTAAAGTAAACACCGGGGGACATCGATCTATGAAAAAACTCGGTTTTCGAAAGCGGTTCACCATGGTATACCTTTCGAAACAAAATGTCTGAGTCTGCCCTTCCAAAAAGCTAACTAGCAAAGTGCTGCTCTTAACACATGTCGATATGTAATAGATGGCGCTCTACAACTTGGCGCAAATTCCAGGCCTCCATCTACCATGGTTCTGAAGCGACATACAATCTACGGCGACCTACCTATCAGCTAAGCTCAAGCCTGGGAACCTCGAAAGTACTTGGTACATAGGTTTTCGAGCGCGCTGAACCACGTCGCAATGTTTGTTTTGTTGTTCGGATTAAAGAAACTTCAAAAGATGGAATGAATTCCACATGGATCTAGATCAGTACGTCACTATACAGCTTTTTGAAATGGCAAGCTCGGACGTTTTCACTCGAAAAGTGCATCATCCATGGTAAACCTGTTCGAAAAATCAAATTCCTTCATAGGTCAATGGCTCCTTGTGTCTAGTTCATGAAACAGAAAGCCGCAGGTCACTAGCTCTTTCCGTTCAAACGTTATTAAAAAAACATTGCACTGCACTATATTTTGAAACAGATAGTAATGCAAACATTTCGTTTATTATCGAAACATACAATTGGTAATACATATCATAACTATTGTATTACATATGGAGTCGACCTGTACTGTGACCGACAATCTTTACATATCTAGGAGTTTTTTTCAATACAATATATAGATGTAATCTATATTGTAATAAATAAATACTCTACTTTTTTAGTTATATATTTTTCTCTTGTAACCAGTGTTTGATATTCGAAATTGATATGTTATGTAATATGTGATCATTTACACATTCTTTCTATATATTATGCAATTAAATTTTATTATAAACAAAACCGAACAAAGAGGGAAAATTCAATTAGTTTACACTATAACAATATAGATGTTATCTCAAAATCAGCAACAAAAACATTTACAAATACACTAGAAAAATGGAGCATGAAACTATTCGGGATACTTTGAAACTTTACCAGAAAATACATAAATATTAACTTCAAATAAAGGAATTGTTAGTAGTAAACCCGGTAAACCTGTGGTGAATGGTGACGTTCATCTTGTCCTCAGTATGTATATAATGGTACCTCCTTTTGCATACCTTTTTAAAAGACCCCAAGGAGTCGTGACCTTTCCAGATGGTATTCAATTTCTCGAGCAGCCTAAAAGTGGCAACCCGAAAATCTTTTTTTGTAATCAGGAAAGATTCTAGTATTTATAAAAATACTTGGAAAAAAATTAATTCTAACTATTTTTTTTCGAGCTTTTTTGACAGGCGGTACATGCAGAGACATGAGAAACGGACCTGTGACCTGTGCAGGTAAAGGTAAAAATTTTAACGAGAATGAATCAGAAAAATCTAGTTTTAATGGAGTGCGCTCTAATCCGCGAACACTATCAGCTTTGCGTTGTGTCTGGACTTGAACCTGTACAAATTAGATCTAGACCTTGCGATCTGGACCTGAGATGCAGATTTATGACCTTTGACTTATCTTATTATCTTATTCGAAGCTGGACCTGGAAAATGTGTTTTATTCCAATATTTTTCTATGAAATCGTTAAGTAGAATATGTGCGAATAGCGATGAAAAAGAAAACCCGATGGGAAGCCCGTGTTTTTGTTGATAAAAATGTTCCCCGAATTGAAAATAAACATTATCTGTACAAATCAATTTTACCATGTTGATGATGGTATCTTCATTTAAATTCTTTTCTTAAATTCTTTCGTTAAATGTTTGGTCATTGTTGAGCTAGTTGTATTACGCGTTGAAACAATAAGTCTCATAGATTTATCGTTTTTATGAGTTTTAATTTGCTCTCTACGAAAGATAAACATTTTTCATGTTTGAAATTTTTGATTGTTTACTATTAATTTCTTTTTTACCTTGAACTACTTTAACTAAATCAGTTAACTCTTTTATTAACCTTTTGGTTGATTCTCTACTCAATTTAGTATATGTACTACTATTACTTAACATTTCTTCTATTTTAGCTTTATCATCTGACGTATTCACAGCTACAATTTTACCACCTTTATCTGATGGTACTACTAAAATACTATCGTCGACTACTGGGTTTTTCAATACTTTTTCTTGTTCTTTTTTAACATTTTTGCCCCTTTTGTCCGTTAAAATAGCTCGATTCAAATGTCTATCAAGGGTATTTCTAACTCAATATGTTCTTTTTGTATTGAGTCTTTTTTATATAAACCAGATTCAGCACCAGCTATCACTCGCGTCACATATTTAGCTGTATTAATATCAGTAGTTGGTATAAAATTTAGTCTTAATTCTAATACACTTCTTTCCCATTGAGACAATTTCCGAGTTGTAGGGTCAATAATACGCGATTCAGGATTATTTGTTATTATTGGTATTGCTGTTAATGCTGACGATTTATTATATGTATAACGAGCGTCATTAAGTAAATAATTATACTTTTTAAATACTTTTGTTGCAATATTGAACGTAATTTAACAACATCACTATTGTTATCTTTATCACAATATGGTATAGAATTTAAATCGACATTTAATTCTTTAAGGGAGGGGGTCATTTAGATTTTCCTGTAACGTTCCCAGTTTGTAGAAAATACTTTGAAGTATAAATCCTGAAGTTTTTTCGGCTTACTGACATTATCTGCTGGCTGAGAAAAAAAGATTGTTAAATTTTTGAACAAGGGGCTATTATATTAATAGAATTTCTGTCCATTCTCCATTCATCATAAAAACTTGGCTCTTACCTAGATCGATAGAGAAATGTGTGGAGAATATTTACCACGAGAAAATATGTAGAAGGATTTGTTCTTTCCTTCCTGTTATTGACTAATTAGTACTAATTAACGTTAATTTAGCCTACTCTACTAGCTTAAAGTCCCATTTGTAAATAACGACTCAACAAAAAGATTCAAGTAATACCTCATCTGATAGAGAATTTCACGGGCTACAAGACAGGCTATCTTTAAGTCTGTTTCTATTCCATTGAAAATCTCAACATAGCCTTTGTTTCCAGAAAAACATAGCAAGTTACTGAATTCACTACTGTTAATGCACAAAAAAACAAGTATATAAAACTGGTATCGCTAATGAGCTCCTGCACCATATTCAGAAATATCACGTTCAGCTGTCAATAATTTTGAGGTAGGTGTGAAAAAACTTCATGCGCTCATAAAGACTGATCAGTTCTTTAATGGAGAAAGAAATCAGACCTACTCAGCAGCCAAAAATGAATTATAAAACTTCTCAGGTAGCTTATCTTGTAGCCCATGAAATTCTCTATCAGATGAGGTATTACTTGAATCTTTTTGTTGAGTCGTTATTTACAAAT